GGAGAAAAAAAAAATTGGCACGCCCGCTAGTGTTGCATGCACAATTGCTCCCGAATCCCATAGAAAGGAACCATGGTGGTTTGCAGACTAGACATAACCAAGATTAAGTGGGGGGGGGGCCTGATTAGGGGCCGAGCCTGCTTTTGGGTGTAGAATTTTTAAAAAAGTGGGGCCATCGGCCGTCGTCCGGGGGGGGCCCATCCAGGGGGAGGGGCTTCAGGAGATTACAAAGCTGGCGCTGCCCCCTATTGGGGTGGGGAGTGCAATCAGGGGTGGGGCCGGCTGAGGGGAGGGGCCACAGGAGTTTGGCCAGCCGGCCCTCCCCCCCCATCGGGTCGGTTCGCTGGCCACAGTGGGCATCATAGCAACCGGTCATTCTGGTCATTACAGCGTTCAGGTGGCTGGCTTTTATATATACAGATTTTATTACTCGTGTCTTTTATTGTAAGCTGCCTGAGATCTTTTTTGGAACTAGGGAATATATGAGTAAGTTTAATAAATTGTTATTTGAAAATTTGGTCCTGTATATAATGGGAAAATTCACATATTATTTCTTAACAGACCAGAAGATGAAATAATTTCAAATCCTCTAGCACAGAAATTGATGAGAAAAGAATTAAGGAACTTATTCATGCAAAGAGTGGGAATCTGGCTTTACCTCCAAATATCACAGTTGACAAACCTGTTCTCCCGCTTTCAAAAGAAGGTAATTTGTTTTCATTATTTTTTTCAGAGGTTTGTAAGGAAAAACTGACTTTAAAAAAAATAAACTTTATTTTTTAGAACAGTTTTAGGTTCACAGAAAAACTGAGCAGAATGTATAGAGAGTTCCCATATATTCCTGCCCCACAGGCACACAGCCTTCCTCACTGTCAACATCCTGCACCAGAATGGTGGTTGTAATCCATGGACCTATAGTGATAGATCAATGTCAAGCCCATAGTTTACATTAATGCTCACTCTTGGTGGTGTGTATTCTAGGGGCTTTAACAAATGTATAATGACATGTATCTACCATTATAGTATCATACAGAATAGTTTCACTGCCCTAAAAATCCTCTCTGCTTCACCTATCCATCCCTCCCTTTCCCCTAACCCCTGGCAACCACTGATCCTTTTACTGTCTCCAAGAACTGACTTTTCAGATATAATAAAAGTAGTGTGTTTGGCGTATTGACTCACTATTCACTTCCCTGTAAAAGTTTCCTTCTACATAGCAATTACGTCAAACAAGACAAGTGAGGCAACTTAGATCCAGTAACATTTAGTTTATTTTTTGCAACCATGATCAGATTAACTGGAGGTGCTATATTCTACACTACCAGTCCTTATTCTTTTTAATCCAATACCATCTTCTAATGAGTGTATCTTCTGTCCATTGTGTAAGCCTCTCCTAAGCATCTCCCTGCCATTTGCCTTTCAAAACAAACTAGCTAAGCTACCTCTTGCTTTACTCCTCTTGACTATATACTTCATTTACTTGTGGTTTTCTCCTTATTATGTCACTAACAGTGGAAAGAAGAGCCCCATACCCAGGGCAATTAAGAGGAATGCATACACAATTCATTAATGGTTACACCCTTTATGCATTTGGTCAAACCATGAGAGAAGCAGGACAAGCATTGTTTGCACCCTAAAGGAGCGAAGGCTATCAACAAGTTAGAAAAAGTGTGATAAGGGAAATACAGGGTGCCCAAAGAAAGGGTGTGTATGTTCCCCCATGTCCCGCGTGGTTCAGGGTTCAGGATCTGGAAGAGGGGCCGCACTCAAATGAAAAAGACAAGAAATAATTTAGAAATATTGGGGGCCAGACGGGCAAGCCCAACTCAAGGGGAAGGACTTCCACTGGTGCCCAGGCCTCACCAGCCTTTTATTCAATTTTGGATACACTTCTAGCTCTTAGGCAGGTAATTGCGGTAACAGGCAGACTATCTTAAAGGTCAGTAAATATTAGAAGGATTTACTCTGAGACTATTTGGTCAGGAAATAACTTGAGCCCCCATTGTCTGGACTAGACAATCGGAGCATAACTCTGGCCCTTGCCATGGGTTCAAGGTTCACCAGCCTTCCAGGATCCTTGTTTGCACTTCTCTGCTAGTGAAGACAATGGGCGGCTTCCTGCAAAGGGGTGTAAAGCAAGCATGTCAAGAGTGAGAAGAGAAGAGGGACTAGGAGAGATCTGAGGAAGACTAATATTTAGAGGATAGGCAGAAGAGGAGGAGCCAACAGAACTATAATTTTTATCTATTACAAATGAACAAATAACTTGTCCCATCAATTTCCCTTGAGGACACAGGGTACCTCTAGAAATTCCTAACTAAAAATGGATGTAATTAATCCATAAAGATGCTGATAAAAATAATTCCCACTTGTTGGACCTTTCTTTGTGCTAAGCAATTTGTTATACATTTTATATTTGTTGCCTATAACAATGGGGTAACAGACTTGGAGGGATAAGTAAATAAGACACAGTAGGGAAGGAAAGCTGGTATTCTTATGTACATTTTGTTAAATGTTTTATTTTTTATATGTGTTATATATGCATGTAATGTAAAACATTCAAAGAATCCTATAGGTTTTTTTTACCAAAAATAGCAGTTCCCTACCCTTTTCCCCACCCATTGCCCTTTCCCCATGACAACCATTTGCAACATATTTTCCATATCTCTAAATAACATGCTTATATTGCTATGTTATGATTTTTCAGTTTTGGGTACTGAAATGATTGTTCATTTTTCCACAGAGGAAATTAGGGTTTTAGGCCTCTTCCTTACCTCTGTCTCCCAAATACTTTAAATAACACATATGCTTTATACTATGTTTTTGTGTAATATACTGTTGGGGAAATAAAGAGAAGGAAGGAAAGATGGAAGGATAAAGGGAAGAGGGATGAAGGAAAGATTCTTGAGGATTATCAAGAATTCATAGAGGCCCTAGCCAGTCTGGCTCAGCAGATAGAGCGTCAGCCTGAAGACTGAAGGGTCCTGGGTTTGATTCTGGTCAAGGGCACATGCCTAGGTTGCGGGCTCGATCCCCAGTAGGGGGTGTGCAGGAGGCAGCTGATCAATGATTCTCTCTCATCATTGATGTTTTTCTCTCTCCCCCTCTCCCTTCCTCTCTGAAATCAATAAAAATATATTTTTTAAAAAAAGATTTCATAGGATATATTTCTTAGGAACCTCATGCAAAGAAAATAGCCAAGAAACACTGTTATGGCTTTGAACTTTGATCTGTGCTATTTTCTCTCATTTTTTACACACACATGCACACACACACACACACACACAAATTCCAAGTTGGTATGTAACACTGTGTGGGAATGTATAAGATATAAGCACTAAATAAGAAGTCAAAACAAGGACATAGTATTAAGGGAACTTATAATAACTTGGGGGTTGGTAAGATGGCAGATGAGGTTAAGGGGGAATTAAAGGCCTTTCAAAGGCATCATTGTAGGAAGGAAGGAGTGAAAGGACCTTACATTTCTTGTCTTGTTGGGGTGGAGAGAGAAGAAAGGGAAGACAGTGTGTGGTAGGATAAACAGTGCATCTTGTATGGGGAAATATTTGGTATCTTATTTTCAAATAATAATATTACAACCAAATGCATCTAATTATTGTAGTGGGAAAACAGAGGGAAACTACTGATGAAATGGAGCAGTACAGATGAATTCATGAAGTTAGAAATAAATAATGAAAAGGTAGCCAAAAATATTTTGACTCCTTGAAAATAAAGGTATAAATGTCCGGCTGTTGTGGCTCAGTGATTGAGCATCAACAACCCATGAACCAAGAGGTCAAAGTTGGATTCCTGGTCAGGGCACATACATACTCAGGTTTTGGGCTCAATCCCCAGTAGGAGTTGTGCAGGAGGCAGGGGCAGCCAATCAGTGATTCTCTCTCATCGTTGATGTTCCTATCCCTCACTCCCTCTCCCTTCCTCTCTCTGAAATCAATTTAAGAATTTTTTGTCTAAAAAAAGAAGAAAGAAAATAAAGGTATAGAAAGGTATGGTGGTATTTGGTGAGGAAACAAGCTATTCCCTCTTATTCTCTCCTTCATTCATCCTGCAAAATTTATTGAAATGATTCTCTGAAAAATAGTTTCTTCCTTAGATTTAGTTAAATATAAAATAGGTATGATGATGTTTTATCAAACAGTGCTTTAGGTTATTAAATGGAAATGTTAACCATTGATTTATTTTCTTTTGTATTTTTCCTTCAGGATTGACAACTGGCTTAATGCAGCAATTGAATGCGTGGAGTATTTCCCTGACCAGTTCGTCATTTCAGTTAGTCAGCAGTTCGTGCAAAACAGAAATGAAGAGACAAGACTGAATAAACAGAAGAAGATACTCTTTGATGTCATAGGAAAATATTATAATCAAGAGAGATATTGCCTGTTAACTGATGAGTATTTTGATATTCGTTCAGGAATTATTGAACTTTTAGGTAAGAAATGATGTTCAAACTTTTTTTTTTAATATATTTTATTGATTTTTTACAGAGAGGAAGGGAGAGAGATAGAGAGTTAGAAACATCGATGAGAGAGAAACATCGATCAGCTGCCTCCTGCACATCTCCCACTGGGGATGTGCCCGCAACCCAGGTACATGCCCTTGACCGGAATCAAACCTGGGACCCTTCAGTCCACAGGCCGACGCTCTATCCACTGAGCCAAACCAGTTTTAGGCTAAACTTTAATTTTTTGAATAATAAAACTTTTTTTTCAGCAAGGCAAATATCTCTACTCTTGCAGGAAGGTGCCTACGCACATGGTCTGGGAGCACCCACACGCTGAGTGGGCAGTCCACTTGGCTTTTTAATCCTGATGCATGTGACCTGTCCCTTACTCTTGATTGGAGCTTAGGCTCACAGTCTTTTGTGACTGGCTAGCATAATAAAACTTTTTAAAGGTACAAATTGAAGAAATGTTATATATTATATGAGTGTAACATTTTAATATTTTCTTCTGTGGTGTCAGGGTACTGCATGGAGTCTTTTTTCACTTCACTAATGTTGCCTGCCATGTAAATTGTACCATCCAATATAACTAACTATAGAACATTATATCAACGGTAATTACATCACAGGGACATTCTAAGAAACATATTTTGATATAATACAGGATTAGAAAACTGGTATTTAGTGACCTTTTAGCAGAATAAAAATTGAGTTATATAGTATCACAACTTTTTTAGCTATATAGGTGGCCATATAATTCCATGTTGAAAACAAAATACTGTTTGATAATGGTAGATGTAATTACACAGGTGTTTGGCATATATAGAATTATATAGATAATTTCCTGTGTGTTTTAAATATTTCATAACAAAAATTTCTAAGTGGTGAAAAAAAGAATCCACAAGCCAAATACGTACAGCATCATAGCATTTTAATTGGCTACTAAATTCTATAATCTCCATTTTTTGTCCCATGCTTTGTCATCTTGGTAATCCATGTAACAGAAAATGAGAAAAGAACAGAAGCACTGGAGGCAACACAACTCTATCTAAGATTGTTATTGCCCAGCATTAGAGAAGAATTAGGACGGCTACTTACTTTTATGGCTATCGCATCAGAGCCTAATGCCTGCAAGTTACAAAAACAGGCAACAAAATATTACAATAACAATTTTCGGCTATTATTTTTAAAAACTGTTCAGACAGACAACAATGTGGTGATTGCTGGGGGGAGAAGGGAGAGAGGTGATGGGGGAGGGTAAAGGAGAGATAAATGGTCATGGATGGAGCGATGGAGACTAGACTGGGTGGTAAACACAGAACAGTGTACAGATGATGTGTTGTGGAATTGTGCGCCTGAAACATGTGTAACTTTGTTAACCAATGTCATCCCAATAAATTCAATAAAAAGAAAAGAAAAACTGTTCGAGCTAATGTAATCTTTCTGTTTTCAGTATGATGACAAAACGGTTGTCCTGAAAACTCTTGCCAAAGCAGTTTTTCAAACCAAATCATTATCAAAAGTCCAGGCAGAACAACTCATCTGGTTTCTACTGGAATATCACTCTGAGCTCTTCAAGGTATCTCTGGCATTTTGCCTGGGCACATTTAGTGCCAAGCTATTTCTGTTCAGCAAAAAGGCAAGTAATTCACTTAATAAATAATCTATTAAGTGCCTGTATTGTGCAAAGTTTGAAGGAATGCTGTCTTCCCCTACCCACTAAAGAGAAGGAAGCAGACTTAATGTCAATATTTGAAAATATATTAATTCCTTCAACCCATTTCTGGTGCATTACTATGTGCCAGGCACGGTTTTATTTAGGCATTTAGAATACATCAGCAAACAAAACACGAAGATGTAGATCCTTGAGGAGCTTATATCCAGGTGAGCATGACAGACAATAAAATAATACACACAATCATCAAGTCAATTCATATAGTTTGATAGGGGGCAATAAATGCAATAGAAAAAGAGCAGGTTCAGAGGATTTATGGGTGCCAGAGTGGGGATGACTGGGAACTTACAGTATTAAACAGGGTGGCCAAGATTGGGCTCAATGAGAGAGTAAAATTTCAGCAAAGACTGAAAGAGAGTCAACCAAATGACTGTGAGGGTGGGAGTCATGGTTTGGGGGAGAGAGATTGGGTCCTAGAGCAGAGGCCCTGGGGGTGACCCAACCCATTTTTGAGTGCTGAAGTGGTGAGCAGAATGGAAGGTAGTATGAGATGAGGTCAGAGATGTGGGGGCCCTTGTAGGCCATTGGAGAGACTTTGCTCCTCCTTGCAATAAAATAGGGAATCACTGGAGGGTTTGAGCAAAATAGTGGCCTGATATGACTGACATTTATAAAGATAGATGTGTCTTTTGTGTTGAGAATAGATTGTTGAGGGGCAAGGGTAAAAGCAGGAACACCTTTAGGAGGCTGTGTAATAATCTAGGGAAGAGATATAGTGACTTGAAACAGAGGGGTAGCAATAGAATTAGTAAAATGTGGTCAGATTTACAAAATATATCAAGAAAATGATTAAATGATTGTTTTTTTAGCCTTGCTACTATATTTTAGTACTGACAGTGGTACTTTTAGTGGTATTTCTCCAAAGCCTGTACAAAAAAATTGTTTCCTTCCCCCCCCCTTTTTTTTTTTGCTTAAAAAATTTATCTCATGTCATAAGAAATAAATATTGGTTCAAATTTTATAGTTCTGTCAACCTTAACTGAAGTTTCTTTTCCATTATTTCAGAGAAAAAGGTGGTAATTAGAATATACAAGAGGCAGTCCCCATATTATGAATTTTGAATGAAATATATTCTGGAAACTCATTTGTAAGTCAGTTGTTATGTTCTATACATAGTTGTTTTTGTTTTTATCAAAATCCCATATAATAAAAGGCTAATATGCAAATCGACCAAACGGTGGAATGACCGGTCGCTATGATACACACTGACTACCAGGGGGCAGATGCTCAACACAGGAGCTGCCCCTTGGTGGTCAGTGTTCTCCCACAGGGGGAGCGCTGCTCAGCCAGAAACCTGAGCTGGGCTCAGGGCTAATGAGCTCAGCAGTGCAGCGGCAGTGGCAGTAGCCTCTCCCACCTCCATGGCAGCACTAAGGACCCCTCAGGGGATGACTGCCAGCTGGCTTAGGCCCATTCCCCTGCAAGAGGGCGCAGGCTGGGCTGAGGGACACCCCCCCCCCCCCCCCCCAGTGCATGAATGTCATGCACTGGGCCTCTAGTATATAATAAATGGCCTGGCTGGTGTGGCTCAGGGGTTGAGCGTTGACCTATGAACCAGGAGATCATGTTTAATTCCGGTCAGTGCACATGCCCAGGTTGTGATTCCCAATAGGGCGTGTGCAGGAGGCAGCGGATCAATGATTCTGTCATCATTGATGTTTCTCTCTCTCCCTGTCCCTTCCTCTCTGAAATCAATAAAAATATTATATATTTCATATATATATATATATGTATGTATATATATATGTATGTATATATATATGTATATATTTGTGTGTATGTGTATGTGTGTGTGTGTGTATGTATGTGTGTGTGTGTGTGTATATATATATATATATATACATATATATATATATATATATATATATATATATATATAATAAATGGAGGTTGGGGAGCCCAGGTTATACAAATGTTTAATTCTACAGTCACTAAATCAAAACTCATGTCTATAGTTTACTTGTAAATTGAGTCCCAGATTTCAACTAGGAATTTAGAAAGAACATTTCCTCTCCCTCTTCCTTAGCACTTAGCCTCTCCCCTTTCTTTTTTCTCATCCTGCCTCCTCCTCTGGGTAAATGAATTCTCTTTCCTACATACAGGCAAGAAATTAGAAAGGATTTTTTCATTTTATGACCTTCCCTTCATGTCAGAGTGAGCAGTGTTATAATGAAACATACTGGCTTAAATTTGGCAGCAGGCCACAAAGGAGAAAAGGAATTGGCATGGGCTGAAGGAAGTGCGAATGTGGGATTCAGGAAGCAGGGAGAAGCCCTCTCATGACTGCTTTCTGGAGATTAGGGCAGAAGGTATTTCAGGGAGGCTGAGATGGCAGCATTTATAATGGAGGCTCTCAAACGTGCCAAGTTTTTTCCTGTTACGGAGCTTTTTCTATGCTGTCTACTATCTGTCTGGAACATTTTTCTCCCAAATCTTCTTAAGGCTCACTCCTTCCCATCTCTTCAGGCCTCTGCTTACAATGTTACTCTCAGCAGAAGCCCTTCTCAAGTAGGATGGCTACCCATTGTCTTCACTCTAGCCTGTTACCCTGCTTCATGCTTACTCAATGGCACGAACACTACTTGAAAATAGATGATGTATTTGCTGATTTTTTATTTTTTTGTGGTTTTGTTTACTTATTTATTTATTTGCAGGGTTTTTTTTAAATTGTCTTTCTCTTCCATGAAACTGTAAGCTCCAAGAGTTCAGAAACTTGATCTGTTTGTCACCTAGAACATAGCAATCACTCACTAAATTTTTACAGAATGACAGAATGAATTAATGGAGACAGCTTCATGAATTGAAATTGGCAAGAGTATAGAAGCTAATGTAAAGGCAGCCTGGGGTGCAGGATGAAGAAGCTGTGTAGATAGGAGGTTCAGCATTGGTAGGTGTAGGGATGCCCTCCGTAGCAATATTAGCTGAGGTATACATGTTGTAGTCTGGGACTACCTTTGTGTACCCAAAACCTGGAAAAGGAGCATTTATCCATTTTAAGATGATAATGTTTTCATGTATTTTAGAGCTACTATTTACATACTTACCATGTAATTACAATGTAAGATTATTTAGATCAGGGCTACTTTAGAACCATAATTTTTTACAGAACATTACACTAATGACTGCTTAACCTAGTTTCAGATGTAGTTCACACATGAAAGTAGACAATTGTAAGAATTCTAAAAAAATTTCAAGAATTCATACCTTTTATAATTCAGAGGTCTGCTGCCCACCCCTTCTCCCCAGCTGGAATGTTTTCCCCGACTCATTGGTCAAAACCATTACGTTTTTATCTATGTTTCTGGATAGGAAAAAAAAAATCATCTATACTAATAATAGGGTAACATGCAAATTGTTCGGGACTCCGTCACAATAACAACCAGTCAGCAGGCTGCGTGCATAGCAGGCGCGGATGGGCAGGGACTTGCAACGTCAGGGACAAGGGTGGGGCCGTGGCAGAGAGGCCTCTCCACCGCGGCCCCGGCCGAGGGTCCACAGGTGCGCATAGAGGCCCCTCCACCATGGACCCAGCCTGGGGATCCGCAGGCCTCCCCAGGCTCCCGCCTACCTTTTTGGGGCAATCCATCAAGGAGCCCCAGATGGGTGAGCGGGGTCTACCTCTTTGGGGCAATGGATCACGGGGCTCCCATACTGTGACAGGGCACAGGCCAGTCTGGGGGACCCTCACACACACCCTGAGTGCATGAATTTTGTGCACCGGGCCACTAGTATTAAATATTTGAAAATCCCTTTTTATGCAGACACCAGTTACTTTATTGGACCTGGTTAGTAAGAAACTGAAGAAGCTTTTGCATGGAAAAGATCCAGATGCCGTATCAGGTATTGATTCAGACTTGTTCCTTTTTTATCAGTGATAGTTATAGCCAAGTAAGTTGGGTGGGACCGAGTATGTAATACAAATATAATGTTATACACAGTGGTTACATTCAGGCTACTTGTTAATATCTCCAGAGCAAGTTCTCTAGTTTTTCTTTTGGAAGCTCTTTGGTTACCTTTCTTCTAAAAAGGTGAACATTTTCTCTCATTCTGCTCCCAAGTCTCACCTCCCCTTCAGCATATCACCCACTGCCGCTTTCATGCTCCTGCCCTCTCTGTTGTCTCTTTTTCTGACTCTGAGTCTTCCTATTGTTTTTCATTCTCTCTCTCCCTCCCTCCTCTCTTTTAGGAAATGACCTAATTTTACAGAGGAGGAGCCTGCCAGCAGTTGAATAGGCTCCAAGATTTTTTTCACTCAGTGTCCTCTGGCAGTTCAGCTGATTCCCTAATTTAAGATTTCTTTAAACTAAAAAATAGTTTTAGTGCAAATTTCCAAAGATTGTCATGTGAGAGACAAAATAGCATAATTGCCATAAGTGGGTTATCAGGGCCAAATTGCCTGGGCAAGTCATTGAACCTCTTTATGCCTCAGCTTCCTCGCCTATGAAATGGGAAAAATAATAGCAACTACTTCATCGTTTTATAACTACTTCATAGGGTAGTTATAAAATACTTAATATTTAAATTAATAATCTATTATAAACTATAAATATTAAATACTGCTAATGTTTAATATTAGTTGACACTAATGTTGAGCCTACTATGTGTCAGGCACTAACATGGATTTATGAAATTATTTATTCTATACAATAATCTATGTAAGTATTATTATTATCCCATTTTTGTAAATAAGATAACTGAAGCTTAGAGAGGTTAAGTAACTTGGCCAACTAGAAAAGTAGTGAACATTTTTTTCTTTTAAAAGATGGTTTCTGCCGAAACCGGTTTGGCTCAGTGGATAGAGCGTCGGCCTTCGGACTGAAGGGTCCCAGGTTCGATTCCGGTCAAGGGCATGTACCTGGGTTGCGGGCACATCCCCAGTGGGAGATGTGCAGGAGGCAGCTGGTCGATGTTTCTCTCTCATCGATGTTTCTAACTCTCTATCTCATTCCCTTCCTCTCTGTAAAAAATCAATAAAATATATTTTAAAATATATAAATAAATAAATAAATAAATAAATAAATAAAAGATGGTTTCTAAGGCATTACTAATTTTTAGAAAAAAACATTCATGGAGTAGGGCATACATTTATTTGCCTGAGTTACTGGGATTTCTCAGCTAATTTCTCAGCTATTTTCTCTCATGTCCTTCTTTGAACACAGGGCATATGGCAACAGATATGTTACCACCTGTATTCTATCTGTTTTGATGCAATTAAATAATGATGCTAAGTATTCTGAACCTAACATCGGGAATCTTTTCAGATTCATTTGATCTCATCTAACTTCAAAACAAACCTCATTTGGCTGCCATTACTATATTAGCTTTTCACATTCAATTCTTCATTGCTTTTGGCTTTGAGGAAAATGGAGGAATTGTAGGCATTTTAATATCTATTTCCATTCAACATTCATTCAACAATATGCTTTAAAGGGAGATAATGAATATAAGTGCTTTGCACAGTGCCAAGTGCTATAAGCACTTGGAAAGTGAAGAGGTATCTGATATTTTTCCCTAAATAGCTTAACTATTTTGTCTCTTCTTGAAGTTTATCCCTCATTCAGTAAAATTGTCACACTATATCAATATGCAACTAAATGATTTTTTAAAAAACCATCTGTATGTTCTATGATGTATGCTCTTTTCCCCATATTTGAGTTTCCTACCAAGTAATTGATTACTTGAAATTCATCTGTTGATGTAAAATGCTCCTGATATCAAATATTTATCCATTCAATTATTCACCAAAGATTTTTTTTAATATTTACTACATGTCAGACTTGTATAAGCACCAAAAAATACTAAGATGTGTAAGATAATGCCTCTGCTTGCAATAAGCTCATGTTCCAATGCTCTAAGTGACTAGCACATAGACGTTTAATAGATATTTGTTGAAAAAATTAAAAAAAATAGATATTTGGTGAATAAATTAAGTCAGTGGAAGAATTCATGTATGAGAGAGACAACCATTATAAAGCAATCTATATATATATATAAAAGGCTAATATGCAAAGTGTCCCCTCGGGAGTTCAACAGGAACAGTTCGATCACTCGTTATGACGTGCACTGACCACCAGGGGGCAGCGTGGAACATGGCGGGCAACCAGCAGTGGTGGTGGGGTCCTGAGGGAGTGAGGGAAGGAGGAGGCAGGGAGGTGGGGGTGGGAGGGTTGTGTGGTGGAGGTGTGTGGGTGGCAAGGGAAGGTGGGGAACCTGATCAGCCCTGATCGGCAGCCAGGCCTAGGGACCCTTCCCGTACACAAATTTTGTGCACTGGGCCTCTAGCCATAATATAATAGGGATATGTTTGAGCCAGAGGAGTTATGGAAGGCTGGAGGAGGAGAATTTACCTGATCTCATTTGAGGCGATCAGGCTAGGCTTGTGGAAGTGACAATGCCTACTAGGAATCTTAAAGAATTAGTAAATATGAGCTAAACCAAAAAAGCAATGAAGGATATTCTGGACAGAAGGAACATTGTGAGCAAAAATAAGTAAGTGCTAGAAACTGCAGCAAGGGGTTGCCAGGAATTGAAACTAGAGAAACAGGCAGATGTCAGATTATGAAGGGCCTTATTTAGCAACCATGGAATTCACTAGGCATTTGGGAGACGTGGAACGTTATTTTTAAGAAAGTGATATGGCTAGATTGGTATTTTAGATAGAGCACGCATAGCTGCAGGTTGGAGAAAAGTTGGCCAGGGGCACTGGAGGCAGGGTTCTTAATTAGGAGGCTAGAGTGCTCCAAGTGAGAAATGAGGTAGGCCTGTACTGTGGCAGAGGCAAGGGGGATGAAGAGGAGGGAACAGGTTTGAGAGATATCGGTGACTCACAGATGACTCTCAAGTTTCCAGGTGGGGTGACTGCCACCGATTCAGATAGAAAACAGGAAAAGGAACACATTTAGGGAGATGGTTGAATCCGTTTTGGTCTTTTGATACGTGTGGGACCTATTGGTCAAGATTTTCAGCAGAGAAGCTGGATGTGCAATTTTGAAGCCCAGGGAAGAAATAGGAGCTAAAATTAAATGTCTGGCAGCATGTGAAAATTGAGGCTGTTTAGAGTCTATTGAGTAAAATAAGAGATCCAAGGATAAAACATTAAGGAACACTAATGGTCAAGGGGTAGGTTAATAGGAATCTATCAATGAGACAGAAATGAAATGTTAGGAGGGGAGTTAGGTGAAGTTGTACTCATTAAGCCAAGAAAATTCATGATTTTAAGAAGGATTGCATTTTAAGGTGGTGATTTTAAGGTGGTGGAAGGTTAGGACTGCCACATATGGAGCCAATGAATAAGAGCTGAGTTAGTAACTTGTATTTTTAAATAGACTTGTATGCTTTTCTCCTGCTAATCTGTCTTTGTCAGTTTACTTTTCAGGCCCAGCCAGGGGCCCAAAGAGGAAAACATTTTTTTCTTCCCAACACTTCCAATTCATTCGCCATGCCACTTAAATTCCTTATATTCCTCTAGAAACTGGGGGAGTAGTTCCTCACTGCTTCTTATACTGCATGGGGTTTTTTTTGGAGATCAAATAAAATAATGTATGTAAAATAAAAGTGTTTTTGCTAAATATAGAGCACTTGTGAAGATTCAGTGTTATTACTCTGAAGCAAAATATGAGTATATTGAGCTTTCTACACCCCGCCTTTCCCATCTCCCTCCTCCTTCCCCCACCCACAAGGCGCCTTACCTTTACCCTTCTCTCTCCTAAGCTCCAAGGGCCCTTCTTTTGCCTCTGTAACTTGTTTCCTGAGCCCATTTCTTCTACCACTCACTTCTCCTACCTCTGTGACTTTCTAAATAAACTTTCTCTTATAAAAAAAAATCGAGTATAGTAAGTACAATTATCTACAATATTTTAGGGGAAAAATAAGTCTAGAATAAAGCCAGTTTAGGTAAATACTTTTTTTTGTTACTGTTTTTTTGTTTTGTTTTGTTTTTAACTTGCTTCTCCTATTGTCCTTTTTTTTAAGGCTTCACATTTTGCCAACGCCTGACATACAAGGAATTTGAAAAACACAAGGAAAGGACAACTCAGTTTCTTCACCAGTTGGCTCTTGAGATTACTAGTAACCCCCGCATCTCTTTGAAACAAAGATAGAAATTTAGGAGTTTCAAAAACATCATCTGGAAGCTTTGCATTAACATTTCTGTGGCAGAAAAGTACAATTTGTAAATGTAAACAAATCTCGGGGATTTCCTCAAACTACCACACTGACACCTCAGGGACAGACTAGCCTCCAAGCACTGTAAATGTAATCGTGCTTAAAATGTCAAGGAAGGTGGTCAAAAGGTACAAACTTCCAGTTATAAAGTAAATGAGTCCTGGGATGTAATGTACAGCATTGCGACTATAATTAATAATACTTAATTATATAGTTGAAAGTTGCAAAGAGAAATCTTTTTTAAAAATGTTAGAGAAGTTTTTAATTTTAAAAGGGAATATAAATTAAGTTCATGTATGCTGATGTACTTAATTATCATGCTGCTGAAGTCATGTGTTAAATGTGCTACTAGGGATCTGGTACATATACTATCTTTAGGTTGGTTTTCCCACAGAAAAGGAACATTTCATACCTGATTTTCTAACTTTGATTTTCTAACTCAAAGAAATAAATGTTGAGACAAAACTCTTCTCACATATAATATACATAATATTCAAGATTGAAAAACATGCACTTTCCTTAGCATATATAACTTTTAAGCTATCCCCTTGGGCTGCTATTACTTAAACACTGAATCATCTAAAAAGTGTAAGACTAAGAAAGAAGATTTTAAAAGCCATAAATTTAAAATTTGTGAATATCTAAAACCATGATTTTGCATTGTCTACTTCTTCTTTAGTCTATAGAATATTTTATGGCTTTCTTCTTTCCTCTCTCCTTCCCTCTTTCTATCCCTCCCTCCCTTCCTCTTAATTGGAGGGAGGTACCTAGGGAAAGTTTTCTTTTTATTGTTCTGTGTAAGTCTGGTGGGGGATTCCTCCTTATTACTATGAATGGCTGGAAGTGTATATTACCATGCCATTGGATCTGATGACTAGAAGATTATATATAACCTTAAGTAAATATCTTCCCTCTGAGTCTCAGTTTTGTTTTTTACTCTCTAGAACAGCGGTTCTCAACCTGTAGGTCGCGACCCCTTTGGGGGTCAAACGACCCTTTCATAGGGGTTGCCCAAGACCATCGGAAAACACACATATAATTACAAAATGTTTTTGTGATTAATCACTATGCTTTAATTATGTTCAATTTGTAACAATGAAATTGGGGGTCACCACAACATGAGGAACTGTATTAAAGGGTCACGGCATTAGGAAGGTTGAGAACCACTGCGTCTAGAATAAAAATGCACATGCAGAGGTTGCATTTATAAGACTGGACCAGAAATATCAGAGGCACGAGGGAGAGCACGTGGTATGGTAGACAATGAGAGAATGGGCTCTGGAATCAGAGACCTGGATCTACTAGTGACCTATTTGGGTTCAGAAGGGAAAATTTTAGCAAGTAAATGACTTTGATTAAGGCAAAATCCAATTTAGAAATAGAATTACTAGAAGTTAGAGTTGCTCAGCAATGCTTGAAATGCTTTATTATTATTTAAATTGAATGACATTTCCTGTAACATTTCCTAAGGAAGCTTATTTTCATCAACATATATACTACTATTCGATTAATCTTGTTTACAAAAAGGAATTGTCTTCTACTGAATGATTTTTGTAAGTTGAGGCATTAATTCCTAGAGAAAATACTAACCAAGAGGTGCCACTCCACCTAGTGACAGCTCCATAAATTACAGTTATTAGGCTTAAATAGAATTCCCAATTTGAGAGACTGGTTATATGCAAAGTATTTTTTTCCCTGTATAAATAAAATCCAGCTCCTGTCACTGTAAAGCTTACCTCCTGATAGAATAGCCAGTAAATTACCATGGGAATTCACAGCCTGATTCATAAGAATGCTTGAATTTCTTATATTATTCACATTATTAGCTACTATCCAGGTAAGTAAAAGATTTTCTAACTCAAAGAAATAAATGTTGAGACAAAACTCTTCTCACATATAATTTATATACATAATATTCAAGATTGAAAACCATTCTTGAGATCCTTTTTTTTTTCTGGAAATCTTTCCTCCCTGTACTCTCCACAAGTGGATTTTGGGGTGCTTTTACTATGCAACTGCTTGCCTGCTAGAAAGATTTTTGAACATAAAAACCAGGTGTTGTAGCTGCAACTCTGTCCCTTAACAACTCTGACATCAATGACACTATTAGGCAACTCTTTGTTGCCCAATGGATTCCCTCACAGGAGTATAATTCAATATTTGATTAATGCCAGCACTCCACTTCTGGCCAGTGCCAACCATATCATGCAGAACTACCTATAAGCCAGGTTTGAATTATTTCTCTTTGGTACTAGGAACCTCCATGAGGTCACAGATGTGAGTTGAAGGAAAGGTAAACAGTGCACCAACTTCTCTAAGGGTGAGCTCATGCAATTGACTTGTCCAACCTGAGTCCAAACTTGTATGTGCCACTTCCACTGGACAATGGCATGCTGCTGTGCATGCCTAACCTGTAGGGGGCAAGGGAAATGACCCCAGGGAACAGAACTGAGAGCAGCATTTCCAGTTGTCCAGTTTGCATAAAAATACTGGAGGATTAGAGACTTGAAAACAGACAAAAAACATGGGAACTAGAAGCTTTAGGATAGTATGTGAATGGACATCGCAGAATAGGCCGTAAGTGCAAGGATATCTGTGTCCTGTATGAAAGCTCATCCAAGTCCTCTTCTTCTTTAGAGTCTAAGTGGACAGCATAGCCTACACCAGGGGTGGGCAACCTTTTTTGTGAGTGCGTGCCAAAACCAGCAAAATCTCTGACTCAAAATTCTTCTGCGTGCCAACCCTAATTTTTTGAGAACATGTTACGCCTACTTGATATCTCTTAAGGTGTACGTATGTGAAGAACCTTGAAGAAATAATAAAATTCATTGGCGCGACAAAAACATAGTATATGATGATGAAAAATACATTTATTTTTTAATGTATACATGTACACTGATAGTCCGACAACTTTATGACTCCGTTTGATATTATCAGTGGGACTTTTGCTGCTGCATCACTGATGACAGAGATTTTACATCAGGTTTATATTTTGTGACCTTCAGAGATATGCACGAGCTACTACTTTCATCTGTCAGGCTACTCCTATTGCGAGACTTAACAAAATTCATCACTGAGAAAGATTCATAAGCGTATGTGGATGAAACCAAAACACTGGTCATATCTAGGAAGGCAGGGAGAGTTAAGGCAGAGGCATAGAAATTGCTCTTCCCCTCTCTCGTCAATCCATGTCTATGGTCTTTAAGACAACTTGTTAAGTAAAATTATTTATTTATCTAAGATGCACCTACACTGAATTTATCTGAAAAATAAAAAAGTTGATATTAAGAAAAAAATTGTAAATGGAAGATTATAAGAGAGGGTTTCGAGTGCCAGCAACAGTTACTGGCGTGTCATGTTTGGCACGCGTGCCAAGGGTTGCCCACCCCTGGCCTACACTGTAGTGGTTAGTTAGCCTCTTTCCCCAGCCACCCCAGTCCTTGCCCGATTATGCTACATTCTGGGAAAATTCCCTCAGCTTCTTTCTGTTTTTCAGTCTTTAGTAGTATCCATTTTGCTACTCAACCATCAATTAAGCATAAGAAATTTCTACTTAAAGGGGTGGAAGTGGCGGGGGGGGGGGGTGTCAATTAGGGAAAAAGGAGACATATGTAAAACTTTAAACAATAAAAAAAATTGTTTTTAAATCTCTACTTTTAATTTCTAAGATCTTTGTTATAGCAACCTGTTGTTGTAATAGATGCAATTCTCTCACCAGTCTCTCAGAGAATATTACTTAAAAAGTTTCTTTTGCTGATTTTAATCCCTAGGGTTCATTCTTGTTTGCTGGATTTGGTGGTGTTAAACACCCCTCAAATGTTTAATGCTTGGGTGTCTGTTTTTTTCATTTATGATTCCCTGTTCCCCTGACAGTGAATTAAGTTCTAATTAGGGTGTCTTTCCCCAGCAGGAGGAAGGTGTACTAAATTTAGGTCCCTGCCCAGTCAGAATTCTTTCTAATGAGGTCTGAGCTCTTGTCTTTAGCCAAAGATCAGTGCCACAATCAGCTGCCCCTTTAATTTTTTTTTAAATTCTAATACTCTTAGTGGATATGACATTATTTCAGGTTCTATTCTGTTTCTCTCTCCAACTCTTACACTTCTACTCTTTCTGCTGAGCCTCAACTCCAAGAGAGGGAATAGGGCTTAGCTGTTTCCAACTCATGCTTTTTTTTTAATATATATTTTTATTGATTTCAGAGAGGAAGGGAGAGGGAGAGATAGAAACATCAATGATGACAGAGAATCATTGATTGGCTGCCTCCTGCATGCCCCATACTGGGGATCGAGCCCACAACCCGGGCATGTGCCCTTGACTGGAATTGAACCCGGGACCCTTGAGTCTGCAGGCTGACGCTCTATCCACTGAGCCAAACCAGCCAGGGCTCCAGCTCATTCTTTACATGGCTTCCCCATGATCTCCTACTCGATGGATTTGTCCTAAATTATCTCTCGAATTATTCATACGTCTTTGGTTTTTTCCTATCCTGATCTGGGATATGGGTTTTCTTGTCCTTGTTTCTCTAACAACTTAATCCAATTAGTTTTCTATCTTTTAAAAAGTTCCTCACATTTGTTCATTAATGGCACCCTTCAGGGTGGCATACTTCAGGATTTACTCTTCTAATAAACTATATGAACTGTTTTATGCACATAATAAAGTATAGATTCTAATACAATAAACACCTATGTGCCTACCTCCGAGGTTGAGAAAGAATATATCACAAGTAGCATCTGAGTGTTCTGTGTATGCTTCCCTGATCTCATTTGCCTCCCTTCTCCAGACTTAAAGGGATTTGGGACAGGCAGAGAAGTAGACGGACATGATCAGTTTACTACATGAAAGCCAATCACCACTGAATTAAAAATTTCAAAACCAAGATAGGAAAGTGTTTGAGAGGGCAGTTCTATCTTGATTACTCATTGCTGTAAATCCTAGTCCTCTACTGTCTTAAGGTGTATATGATGCATGGCCAACATGTTGCTTCCATGCATGCAAATTATAATAACAATTTTAAACTCTTACGTGGCTAAGTTCTGTCTCTACTTCTAGCAAATCTCAAACTTAAGATCATCACTAATTTTTCTACTTCTCTTGGTAAGTGTTCAAAAAAAAGATCATCAACATTTTTCTATAATAATAGAGATCTTTAATGCATCATCTCAGACAATGTTTATTATTCAGAGCTAAAGTTAAATGTTCTCTTTGAAGTCAACTTATTGTATAATATTAAAACATTACCTCTAGCAATAAAGTTTTCAAAATCAGGCAGGTGTTGAAATGCATGGAAGCTTTGATGCTACAGATAAAGGATTAGGCTCCAGGTTCATTAATTTAAGAAATGAATTTTTATGGTCTCAAAAAAGCATTATGAGACCTACTGGTACACTGTATTCAGAAATTCCAGTCTACTGTAGTAAGGATATGAACGCATATGCATCATCCTCGGTAGAATATAACAGAAGACTTCAGGTGAGGGCATGTTTTAGGAATGCAGCCTTGAGGAATGCCCAGTTCCTCACAGCAAAAACACCTGGCTGGTAATGATAGCATTCTACCTGACCAAGATGAGATCCTGACAAGTCAAGAAAAGCCCTTTAAATGGGGCTTATCTTTTTACCTCCAACCACATTACCTTGAAATTCTAGCACTGTTCAACTGTATGGTTGCAAAAACTTGTTTTATGCTA